GAGAAAAAGCTTATTACATTTAATTTCCTAAATTACACAGCAGATAATTAATAAATTAGGACTAAAAAGTTGAATATTTTACTCTTAAACTAATTGTCCCATCATTATCTGATGTTTTCCCAGTATAGATATAGTTATGAAGAATCCCCAGGAAATAGTAGCATGGTAGATTTTTGATGGGAAACCGGTCTTCAAAGAACAATTCGATAGCCAGAAAAACCCCTCTCTCTCTAGCTACAACTATAGATGTTGTTTAAATCATAATGCTTTCTAAACAAATGTTTTCTATATATCACCATACTCACAATTATGTTTCTTATTGAAATATTTTCAATACAAAACGTATGAGAAAGTCATATAGGTGTGTTATAAGTTAGTATCTTAATATTGCTAGATTGATACAGTGAAATGTAGTAAGAATTCAAGTGAAGCATCTGGAAGTGAAACTAGAGAGCTAGGCAGAGATCAAAGAATGAAAGACCTTATATGGCAAACTAAGGATTGTTAACTTTATTCTGTTATTAGCAAGTTTAACGTTCTAATCTAAACAAACACATTGCCATTTTCTGTTTCAATGACTTTCTCAACTACTATATATGCTATATTTACCTAAATTATCTAACTTGATCTTTCAGTCGATTTAGGTCAATTTCTGACTGCGTAGTCAGATAGACAACCTTAAGGCAAAACAGTTTATCATTCATGTTATTGCAATATCGAAGTACAAATCTGAGTTACTGTTTTGACACAAAAATGCTAACATTTTACAATGTAAGTTTAATTTCTGCACGGTAAATTATTTCAAATTAGTTTCAGGTAATTGCTTTGTCAAAATCCCCTTACATACATCTACTGTCAATCTTTACAGCTCATTGAGCTATTTCAAGTTACATTTGTTTCATATGATAGAAAAAAGTGATTAAAGTTGTTAAATGTTTCTTTATCAGAAGTTGTGATTTAATTTTCAAATCATATTAAAGCATATAATTTTGAAGATTTTTAGCATAAATCTTGAAAATAGCTTTGAAACTCTATTTGTGAGATTTTTATACAAGTATACGTATTTTTTCATTATTCAGACCAGAGCTTTCAATGTCAAAAAATGTAAATACAATGTATTCTTAAAATAATGTATTTTTGGGGCCGGCCCCGTGGCTTAGCGCTTAAGTGTATGCTCTCCGCTACTGGCGGCCTGGGTTCGGATCCCAGGCATGCACCCACGCACCGCTTCTCTGGCCATGCTGAGGCCACGTCCCACATACAGCAACTAGAAGGATGTGCAACTATGACGTACAACTATCTACTGGGGCTTTGGGGGAAAAAAAATTTTTAAAAATGTATTTTTGCATCTTTATTAAGATATAATTCACATACCATAAAATCCACTCTTTTAAAGAGTATGATTCAATGTTTTTTAGTATATTCACAAGGTTGTGCAACTGTCACCAATATCTAATTCCAGAATGTACATTTTTTAACTTTACAAATACATTGCAATAAACACATGTGAAATTATAGTATAACTTACATGTAATTGCAATGTTAACTTATAATATATTCTAAATAATGTCACTCATATAGTTCTTTAAAACCTGAAGAAAGTATTTTAATGAGAATTAGAGAATAAGATATGACTGATTCTTTTTCTGAGTTCTCACACTGGTAAACGTAGGGCTGCCTTAGATAATTATCAAATGTTGACTCCACTTTCTAACATATTTACACAACCATATATTTGTCAATGCTGAAGAAAAATAACTTTCAATGGATCCCCAAGTGTTCTTAGGATAAAGTTCAACCTCCTAAATCTTGTTTACAAGGCTCTGTTTGGCTTTCTCTCTTTATTTTTCCCCACTCCAAACTTTATATTTAAATCATTTTAAATGTCTTTCAGTACCTCAAATATATCTTGTTTAATACGGCAATCTTGCCTTTGTTTTGTTGTTTTCATTATTTTTTAATGTTGTTGCTTTGTTGCTTGTTTTGCCTCAGTTGAACAAAAACAAGCTGGCTGGTACTCCTCAGTTCAAGATATACTATCACCATCTGTCTGTACATGGTGTATTTTTATTTTCTTATTTAGTTATTCTCCCCCATATTTTATCTTTCATCCCATTTCAATACCCTGCCCACGGTTTTGTATTTAATGTTTGTTCATGTGTGATAGAAACTGCCAACTGCCTACTCAATATTTTTTCTTTCCTTCCTGGTTACTAACAGGTTCCCTTTTTGTTCTAGGTGACAATGTGTCCAGTTAAAATACTCACCTCACCGTACTCCTTTGCATCTGGCAGTGTCTATAAGACTTGCTTCTGGCTAAAAAAATGTAGGTGCATTCTACTGGGAGTAGATTACAGGAAAAATATTGTTTTCCAGCTTCAAAGGGAACAACTCAGCTAGCTTGTCCCTTTGCCCTACATTTTTCTCATCTTCTTCCTTCCCGGAATGTGTATGTAATACTTGAAGGTAAGCAACTACCTTGCAATTATGAAGATGCAAAGCCACATACCTCTGGTCATGGAGCAGGAGACTAGAAAAAGCATTTGCACCATCTGGAGACTTCTTACTTCCGATTGAAATCATTGCAGTTGAGTAAGCCACTGTATTTGAAATAATCCTGACTGATGCATCTTTTATTGTACTTTTTATGTAACTATTTATATATGCTTGTCAGTATTTCATATGTTACATTTTACTTAAGCTTTTCCCTATAGTCACCTATGTTGCCTCCAAAGTTTTTCTACCTCAAACAATACTATAATGAACACCTTTGTGAACACACTGGGTGAGTGTTTTCTTTGATTATATGGTAAAGAGAGGGATTTCTGAGTTGTAGGGTATACCCAAAGTTGATTTCACTAAATATAGCTAGATTGCTGACAAAAGTGGCTGCGCACATTTATGCTTCTACCAGCAGTGAACAAGGGTTCCCATTTCCCATATTATTACGGTATTATTTCACTATAATTTTTACAAACCTGATGAGTGTAAAGAGGTATCTCACTTTTTTGTTTTCATTTGCATTTTTATGATATCTAGTGATGTAGAGCAGGTCTTCATATATTTATTAGACATTTGGTTATCATCTTCTCAAAATAGCCTACAACTATCTTTTGCCCAGTTTTCTGCTGTTTCCTGTATTTGTCTTGATTTGCAGGAATTCCTTATACAAGCTAGATATATTAATCACTTTTTGTTACAAACACTGCAAATATCATCTCCCAGTGTATTACTAGTTGGCTAAATATGCTGACTAAGCAGAACACTTTCATTTTAACGTAGTTATATCCATTAATTTTTCCCTTTTATAATTTTTGCTTTTGAGAGTTTTGATTAAAAATTTATTCCCAGGGCTGCCCAGTGGCACAAGCGGTTAAGTGCACGCGCTCCGCTGCGGCAGCCTGGTGCGGCGGCCTGGGGTTCGCCCGTTAGGGTCCCAGGCGCACACCGACGCACAGGTTGTTAACCCATGCTGTGGCGGCGTCCCATATAAAGTAGAGGAAGGTGGGCACGGATCTTAGCCCAGGGCCAGTCTTCCTCAGCAAAAAAGAGGAGGATTGGCATTGGATGTTAGCTCAGGGCTGGTCCTCCTCACACACACACACACACACACACACACACACACACACAAAATTATTCCCCATCCAGGGTTCACAAACTTCTTCTCCAACATTTAGAAAGTTATTTTTCTACTGTTTTCTTTCACATTTAAGTCTTAGTCAATTTGGACTTTTTTTTAATAGATGAAATGTCTGTTTTCATTTTTCTCCATATAGTGAGCCAACTTTTCTTTTTCCCAAATAGCTCATTCCCCATATTGCTTATTCTGAATTTCGAGTATTATATGTGTCTGTATATGTGTGAATGTATATGATTTAGAATTATCTCTTTTTTTCCTTGGTATACTTGTTTGTTCCTGTGCTAGTGACACACAATTTTAGTGATCATGGCTTTGTAATATGTTTTAATGTTACATAGGGTGACTTTCCACTTTTCTCCATTAAAAAAATTATCTCTAGCCAGCCCTGGAGGCCTAACAGTTAAAGTTCAGCATGTTCCACTTCAGCAGCACGGGTTCAGTTCCCAGGCATGGAACCACACCACTTGTCTCTCATTAGCCATGCTGTGGCATCAGCTCATGTAGAAGAACCAGAAGAACTTACAACTATACACAACTATATACTGGGGCTTTGGGGGGAAAAAGGAAGCAAAATAGGAGGAAGATTGGCAACAGATGTTAGCGTAGGGCGAATCTTCCCCCCCCCAAAAAAAAGAATTATCTCAACTATTTATGACTTTTACTACTTCCATATAAATGTATATTCATGTAAACCATGATTTTTCTGTATTTATCATGCTTTAAAATATTATATCTATAAAATTTTCCATACATTTATATATGCTGTCTTTTGTTTTAGTGCCACCCTTTTCCCCTCCCTTCCTCCTTCTCCTCCTCTTCCTCCCTCTTTCTTATTTTCTCTCTTTCTCTTTCCCTCTTTATTTATTTTTGGTTTCCTGGTAGGTTCTTCCTCATTTTCTCTCTATCCTCCATTACATATTTCCCTATTATTTCCCTAGTTAACTACCATGTTCTGTCAGATTTCTCCTTGCTCATTTACTATACACTGAACATTACACACACATGTATACACACATTTTTGTGTGTGTATACATACACACATATATATAATAATTTTGAATATGTGTTTCACAAAATGAGATTCCTCTATCCATGCTTTTTGGGATCTTCTTCTTTCTCCCTCAACAGTATTTCATAAAAGTAAATCCAAGTCATCTTGTATAATTGCTAATTTTATGTGTCAACCTGCACAGTTATTTAATCAAACACAAATCTAGGTGTTGCTGTGAAGGTATTTTGTAGATGTGGTTAACATCTACAATCAGTTGACTTTAAGTAAAGGGGATTAGCCTTAATATGGTTGAGCCTTATCTAATTGAAGGCCTTAATAGCAAAATAGCAAAAAACGGAGATTTCCCAGGAAGAAGTTCTAACTCAAGACTGCAGCATCAACTCCTACGTGAGTTTTCAGCCTGCCAGCCTGCCCTAAGGGTTTTGAACTTGCTAGTTTCCATAATCTAGTTAGCCAAATCGATAAAATAAATCTCTTCACACACATACATGCACGTATGCACACACACACACACACAGTTGATTCTCATTATTTTCGGATTCTATATTTGTGAATTCGCCTACTAACAAAAATTTTGTTTGTAACCCCAAAATCAATATTTGTAGTGCTTTCTTGGTTATTTGTGGACACGTGCAGAGCAGCAAAAAACTTGAGTCATCCAGTGCACATATTCCTAGCTGAGGTCAAGGTTACACTCTTCCTTCTTTCAACTCTAATACAGAAATGACCAGAGGATGGAAACAGTAGTGGACAGTGCAGTATAGTGCAAGAAGTCCTGGCTCTGGGGCCAGCTGGACAGGATTTGAATCCCAGCTCTGGCACCTGTTAGTGGGGTGGCCTCAGGCAAATCACTTTACCTTTCTGAACCTTGTTTTCTCCTTTGTGAAATATAGAAAATACAATCTATCAGGATAAGTTGTTTTGGGGATTTAAGATATAATCTATGTGAGATATGTATACGTGTGTGTGTGTATTTTCCTGAAGAGCAGTGGTTCAGTATTTGCTAATCCAGTGCTTGTGATGACTTTTAACAGAAATAACTACCATGGATGACAAGAATTAACTCTGTGTGTTTGTGTGTGTGTGTGTGTGTGTATACACATATTATATATAATGTCCTATTGGCTCTGTTTCTCTGGAGAACTATGACTGATACATCTGATATAGATCAATTGTGAATTTTTTAATAGCTTCATTATATTCTCTGATGTGAATGTATTATATTTAAAATCATTCCCCTATTGAATGGCCATTTCACTTATATCCAGTTTTTGGCATTTTTTATAAGGTCACATATATTCTTGTATATATGTTCTTAGGTACTAGTGCTTTTATTTTTTTTCTTTCAGTTTCATTGAGATATAATTGACATACAGCACTGGATAAGTTTAAGGTTTACAGCAAAATGATGCAACTTGCATATGTTGTAAAATGATTATCACAGTAAGTTTAGTTAACATCCATCATCTCATATGGATTAAAAAAAGAAAAAAGAAAAAAAATCATTGTGATGAGAACTTCTAGGATTTGCTATCTTAGGAACTTTCAAATATACAATATAGTAGTGCTAACTTATACATTACATCCCCAGTACTTAGTTATATTATAAATAGTGCTTTTATTTTTATAGAACAGTTCCCAGAAATTGGGATGCAAAAGTTATATACAGTTATTAAAATAGATATTATCATATTGCTTCCTGCCAAAAGATGTAATAATTCAACTTTTTTTCTTTACTGTAAATGTATGTGAGTATCCTTTAAATAAATCTCTGCCAGTAATGAATGTTATCTATGTTTCAAACTTTTGGCATTCTAAAAGTCATAAAAGATTATCAAACTGATATTTTAATTTATGTTTCCCTGAGTGCTCATGAATGTAAGCATCTTTGCATTGGTATTTAACCATTTGATTTTGTTTCTCTGAGCTCTTTCCATGCATGTCCTTGGTCCACTTTTGCTAAGGATGTTTCTATCCCCTCTTGTCAATTTAAAAAAGATTTTGTATGTTTTATCTTCTAATCTCCTATTTATGTATGTTATAAATATTTTCTAATATATATTGCTTTTCTACTAATTTTATTGATAATATTCTTTGCCACATGAATTTAAAATTTTTACGCAAACATATGTTATGCTTCCAGTTTTGTTCAAGAAGATCTTATCCACCTCTATATTTCCCTCCAGGACTTCAGTTTTTTATATGGTTTCCAATTTTAATTTTTTAGACCAGTAATTAGTAGTGCTAATTTATTTAACATTCATTAATCAGGCCATATTTTTATCACTAGATTGAAAAACCAACTCTCATTAAAGGTTTTATATATCCTTTGTTAGGTTTTACATGCTTTATAGTTTTTGTTGCTATTATAAATTCTAGTATATTTTCTATCATATTTCCTAAATTATTACTGCAGATGTAAAGAAACACTACTTTAATTTGTATAGTGAACTGGTATATAAGTACCTCACTAATCTTTCTTATAAGTTTTAACACCTTAAGATTGATTCATCCACTTGGATTGGATTCTCCATGTATGTGATTTTTATTTGTTTGACAGCTTTATTGAGGTAAACTTAACATACAATAAACAATACATATGTATAGTGTCCAATTTGATAAGTTTTAACATATGAATATATCTGTTAAAATTATCACCACCATCAAGATAATAAATCTACCACTCTCAAAAGTTTTCTTGGGCCCTTTTGTAATTCCTCCTTCATTTCCCTAATTTCCTAGGTAACTGCTGATTGTCTTTATGTTACTACATATCAATTTTCACTTTATGGAGTTTTATATAAATTGAAACATACGACATGTACTTTTTAAATCTGTTTTCTTTCACTCAGAACAATTATTTTGAGATTCATCAATGTTGTTGATGTGTAAATAGTTCCTTTTTATTGCTGAATAGTAGTCCATTGTATGGATCTCTGCTTGGTTTTATTTATTTATTTATGTTTAATTAAATTAAGATATAATTGACATGTAACATTGTGTAAGTTTAAGGTGCACAATATATTGATTTGATATATTTATATATCACAATATGATTACCACCTTAGTTTAGCCAAGACCTCTATCACGTCGTATAATTATCATTTCTTTTTTATAGTGCAAATATTTAAGTTCTACCCTTAGCAATTTTGAAATATATAGTGCAATATTGTGGACTATAATCACTACATTGTGCATTAGATCACCAGAACTTAATTTATCGTCTAGCTGCAAGTTTGTAACCTTTAGCATCATATCCTCAATTCCCCCACCCTGGCCCCTGGTAACCACCATTCTACTCTTTGTTTCAATGAGTTCGGCTTTTTAGATTCCACATATAAGTGATACACACTCTGTCTGGCTTATTTCACTAAGCATAATGCCCTCAAAGTCCATCCATGTTATCACAAATGGCAGAATTTTCTTCTTTCTTACTGTTGAATAATTTCCCATTGTCCCATTGTATAAAATATACCACATCTTCTTTGTCCATTCATCCTTTGACAGACACTTAGTTTGTCTCCATATTATGGCTATTGTGGATAATGCTGCAATAAACATGGGAGTGAAGATATTTTTTCAATATTTTGTTTTTATTTCATTTTGATATATACCCACAAGTGGTTTTACCGGATCATATAGTAGTCATATTTTTAATTTTTTGAGGAAACTTTATACTGTTTTTCATAGTGGCTAAACCAATTTACATTTCCATCAACAGTGCACAAGAGTTCCCTTTTCTTCACATCCTCGCCAACACTTGTTATCTCATGTCCTCTTGATGATAGCCATTCTAACAGGTGTGAGGTGTTATCTCATTGTGGTTTTGATTTGCATTTCACTGATGATTAGTGATGTTGAACATATTTTCATGTATGTGCTGCCCATTTGTATATCTTATTTAGAAAAATGTCTATACAGTTCTCTGCCCATTTTTCACCTAGATTTTTTTGTTGTTGTTGTTATTGAGTTGTATGAGTTCTTTTTGTATATTGGATATTAACCCATTATCTGGCACATGGTGTGCAAATATTCTGTGCCATTCTGTAGGTTGCCTTTTTCCTTTTGTTGATTGTTTCTTTTGCTGTGCAGAAGCTTTTTAGTTTGATGTAGTCCCACTTGTTTACTTTTGCTTTTGTTGTCTTTGCTTTTGATGTCATGTCCAAAAAATCATTGCCAAGACCAACATCAAGAAACTTCTTCACTATGTTTTCTTCTGGGAATTTTATGGTATTTGGTCTTATGTTAGTCTTTAATCCACTTTGCGTTAATTTTTGTGAGTGGTGTAAGATAGGAGTCCAATTTCATTTTTCTGCATGTGGTTATCCATTTTTCCCAACCTTTTTTTTTAAAGAGACTATTTTTTTTTCCCCATTGAGTTTCTTGGCTTTCTTATCAAATATTAGTCGACCATAAATGTGGGGGTTTATTTCTGGGCTCTCTATTCTGTTCCATAGATCTATATGTCTGTTTTTATGCTTTTATTACTGTAGTTGAAATCAGGAAGTGTGATGCTTGTGATGCTTTGTTCTTTCTCAGGATTGCTTTGGCTATTCAAGTCTTTTGAGGTTCCATACAAATTTTAGGCTTGTTTTTTCTATTTCTGTGAAAAGTGCTATTGGAATTTTGTTAGAGATTGCATTCAATCTATAGATGGCTTTGGGTAGTATGGACATTTTAACAATCTTAATTCTTCCAGTTCATGAACATGGAATATCTTCCCATTTATTTTTGTCTTCTCAATATCTTTAATCAGTTTCTGGTAGTTTTCATTGTGTATATCTTTGTCTTCCTCAGTTGACTTTATTCTTAAATATTTTATTGTTTTAGATGCTATTGTGAGTGGGATTGTTTTGTTTATTTCTTTTTCAGATATCTGTTGTTAGTGTAAGAAATACAACTAATTTCTGTATGTGGATTTTACATCCTGCAACTTTACTGAGTTTGTTGATTAATTCCAACAGTCTTTTGGTGGAGTCTTTAGAATTTTCTGTAAATAAGGTTATATCAACTTCAAATAATGACAATTTTACTTTTTCCTTTCTGATTTGGATGGCTTTTATTTCTTTGTCTTGCCAAATTGCTCTGGCTAGGATTTCCAACACTATATTGAGTAAGAGTGATGAGAATAGGCACCCTTGTATTATTCCAAATCTTATATAAAAAGCTTTTAGTCTTTCACTGTCGAGTATGATAGCTTTGAGTTTGTCATTTATGGCCTTTATTTTGATAGGGTATGTTCCTTCTAAACCCAATTCATTGAGGGTTTTTATCGTGAAAGGATATTTTATTTTGTCAAATGCTTTTTTGTATCTATTGAGATGATCATATCATTTTATCTTTTACTGTATTAATTTAGT